TGTGGATTATTGTGATGTTTTTATCAGCTGTTTGGACTCTCATTCTGACGGCACCCATTCACTGCAGAGCATCCATTGCTGAGACACTGATGCAATGCTACATCTCAAGAAAACAGCAATAAAAAACAAGACATCACACTCACCGTTACGGCTGATCTCAGACAGACCGTGATGAAGCTCCAGACGCTTGGTGCTGATGCTGATGCTGAAGCTGGTTTCCATGGTAACAGAGGCAGCGGCGAGGACACTTGAACTGGATGGTGCTCCTGATCGCTGCGGTCCGTCTGAAACACGGCTCTGTGTTTTCAGCTCTCGAGCGGCGGCAATGAAACGCATGAGGCGTGTTATGAAACGTGCTGATTATTTGACAGAAATACCAACAATAAATACAGAAAATGATGACATGTGTGACGCAATCAAACCGAAATCATGCATCTTAGTCAAAAGAAATGTGCGGTTTTCTTGTTCATCATTTATTTAGATGTGTACGATACTAGAAAACCAAATGTGTCTCAATATTTGTAAACTACTGGCAGTTTCTGCCGCTCAAAGAGAAAATCTGAGTTTTGTGTGTGTGTAATACGAGCGATCAGATCAGCCGTATTCTTCTCCTATTTCAATCTAAGGCTTAATTCTCCGAAGACGCCTCAGCAAAGCTTCTGATCTGCCGCTGAGAAGCCGAAGTGTTTTTAACATCCACACTGAGAGTCAGACCTGTGGACAAACACAAGAGCATCACAACACTCACAGATGTGCTGCTGATTTCCCTCCAAAACGACATCACTTCCTTTATGCTTTTGTTATTTAGAATTTGAATGTAAAGTGATATTAGAACACAGAAATAATATATAAGTCATCAATTGATAAAAAAAATTCTTCAGGAATGTCATACAAATAGAAAAATATTGATTTTAACAGAAAAAAAATCAATTGATTAAAAAAAAATTTTTTGGAAATGTCATACAAATAGTAAAATATTGATTTTAAAGTTTTTTAACAAAAAAGAATATAAATTATCGATTGATTTGTAAAAATCTTGAAAATATCATACAAGTAGTAAAATATTGATTTTAATGTTTTTTAACACAAAAAACAATATATAAATTATTGATAAAAAAATCTTGGAAATTTCATACAAGTAGAAAAATGTTGATTTAAAAAAAAATTATCAGAAAAAAATAGATAAATTATTAATTGTTTAAAAAAATCTTGGAAATTTCATACAAATAGAAAAATTTTGATTTTAAAAACATTTTAACAGAAACAAATATATAAATTATTAATTGTTTAAAAAAATCTTGGAAATGTCATACAAACAGTAAAATATAGATTTTATACTCTTCAATTAGTCAACTAAAAATTACTACAAAGTATTTTTCAGTAAAAATGTTGATTTTCTGATATATAATTTGACGTTGGATTAAAAAAAAAATTATATACAACTTAAAAAAAAAATACTTTTTACAGTATCTATCTGTAGATATATAAATGGATATAAAATGATTTAAATATGGTGGTTTAACTGAAATACAATGATAATAAATGATAATAAACAAATACAATTTGGTGAAGGATTTACTTCACTCATAAATTGCTAGATTATTTCAAAAATTACCAAGAAACAGCAAGTAACACATCGAATTAAATGTAACATTCTGAAGTAGAGAGACAGATAAAATCATTATATATTACGTTTCACAAGTAATTACAAAGGAACAGCAAGCAACATGACATTTTGGTGGAAGGCAGAAAGGCTTTTTGCATCCAAGCGTTTATGTTGATGATCAGCTGAAAGATGTTTTTGTATAAAATAGCTTGTGTGTTTCTGAAGTAATGTGATATTTTCGTTAACTATAACAAACTATTAATCATTTACATTAATTGCAATGAAATAGACGTTAACTAAAAACAAAATAAAAAACTTTCAGTTACACTTTTATCAAATATTAGTTACTTATATAATTTTCATTTAGTTTAATAAAAAAATTGAAATTTTTATTTTGGATGCGATTAATCGCGATCATTTGACAGGACTAATATATTTTCTAATACTTTTAGACTTTACCTTTGTGTGTGTGCATGTTTTATTGTGTGATATATATATATATATATATATATATAATAATTTGACGTTGGATTAAAAAAAAAATTATATACAACTTAAAAAAAAAATACTTTTTACAGTATCTATCTGTAGATATATAAATGGATATAAAACGATTTAAATATGGTGGTTTAAATGAAATACAATGATAATAAATGATAATAAACAAATACAATTTGGTGAAGGATTTACTTCACTCATAAATTGCTAGATTATTTAAAAAAACGACCAAGAAACAGCAAGTAACACATCGAATTAAATGTAACATTCTGAAGTAGAGAGACAGATAAAATCATTATATATTATGTTTCACAAGTAATTACAAAGGAACAGCAAGCAGCATGACATTTTGGTGGAAGGCAGAAAGGCTTTTTGCATCCAAGCGTTTATGTTGATGATCAGCTGAAAGATGTTTTTGTATAAAATAGCTTGTGTGTTTCTGAAGTAATGTGATATTTTCGTTAACTAAAACAAACTATTAAACATTTACATTAATTGCAATGAAATAGACGTTAACTAAAAACAAAATAAACATTTCAGTTAAACTTTTATCAAATATTAGTTACTTATATAATTTTCATTTAGTTTAATAAAAAAATTGAAATTTTTATTTTGGATGCGATTAATCGCGATCATTTGACAGGACTAATATATTTTCTAATACTTTTAGACTTTACCTTTGTGTGTGTGCATGTTTTATTGTGTGATATATATATATATATATATATATATATATATATATAATTTTTTTTATATAAAATATATGCACAATTGTTAGTTACATTAACTAACAATGAAAAGTACTTCAAAAGCATTTCTTAATCTTTGTTAATGTTATTTTCAATATGTACTCACACATTATTAAAAGCAAAAGTTGTATCTTTTAATATTATTCAATGGGTGTGAGCTGA